AATAACCTTAATGATCTTAATCCTTCTGTTTCTAATTATATCAGCTGTTCAATGTAAATATATGTCAGCTGTGAACTGGGGAATTTATTGGACATTCACCTGTGTCCCTATACTTCAAGATATGTCATCACTTTCTTTATTAACTTTCTGCTGTCAGAAGCATAAGGTGTTCAACTCAACCCTGCATTCTTCAACTCCTGCAACCTATATTTTCCAAGTTTGTAAATCTGCTTGCTGTCACCTCTGAACAGCAAGTTTTTATAACTTTCTAGTATTTTTTCCCAGACACTGCTGTTGATGATTTATGCTAGACTCCTAAAATCAAAACTTTTAACCTGTCCAAAATGAAGTGGCTTTAAGGAAAAAAAAAAGTCCCAGCCTGTGTCAGCACAGTTTCCAAAAATCTTTTATAAGCTTTTGCTGCATCTTCAGGGCATGTGATGTCTCTGTGCAAAGACAGCACACAATGGCACTCCCCAAATGGCACTGCTCACTAGGCAGGGCTGAGGATCTCAGCCTGGAACTATTCCTCACCCCTATTCTGGTCAACACACACTGGTTTTTATAGTGTATTTCATGATTCTGTAGAACAGCCGTCTTGATTTTTAATATGATATTCTGCTTTTCCCAGTATAAATTAATTTATTTTTTCCAACCTCGAATTACATAGCTCAGATGCATTGTATATATGATGAGATTGAGCAAATCAAATTTCCAGGCATCTTCTCTGTGATTTGGTTGGTTTTAAGCTTTTTTTTTGTATTTAAAATCATATCAAAATATCTGCTGCATCTTATGACATTTTTATATGTACACACACACATATATGTATACACACACACAGGGTATACTTTGAAAGAAAAAGTGCTCTATAAACTATTTTGGATTCTTTTATTTTTCATATGAAAAGAAAAATGGAGAGTCTGTCTTCAAAATTCATAAAAATGCATGTTTGTTTATCCTAAAGCCTGGAGAGGCTCATTCCATGTCATTCCAGTGTCTTGAGTAAATATATTAGTCATTCTTAGGGCAAAAAAGCATTATTGACTTGAGTGATTAGAAAAAGCTCTTTCAGAATCAGTTTAGTTGATAAAGTACATAAATTCTTAAATGGCTAGAGGCAAAAAAGTAAAAGAAAAACCAGTCAAGCACAACTTATTTTGCGCCCTTGATGTGTGTGTAGGTATTAGAAATCAAGCTCTGTGGACCACGTATTAAATAATTACAATTTGTATGTATAAATAAATACTGCATACAGCTTACAAGCAAATTCCAAAGAAAGGGCTTATTCAGGAGTGCAAAGCATTGCTAGAAGTGATCATTGTCTTTTGAGTTTATCTCAACATAAATGTTGAAAACCATGTGCCAATTTGTGCACACATGAAGGGGGAAGTTAGGATTGCATTTGTTACGTTTAGGGTGGGGGAGTGTTATTTTTTTCTTCAAGTGGGGAAAGTTGTATTCATTCCTCTAATTAATTTCAGGATTTTCAGATAAGAAATGTTGTATTTTCTTGCATGACATAGTCTCATAGAACCAGGCACCATTTGTGTTGGACTCACAACATGGCATTTTTGAAGTGCTTGGCACTGAAGATGATGATTTCCCATACTTTGTTCAAACACCTTTAGGGCAGAATACACTTAGAGCTGTGGATTTTCACATTTACCATTTAAGGATGATGCTTGTTAATATTATGTACTTTTTCAGAAATGGTTTTTCCTGGCCATCACAGCATTGTTTAAGACTGAGATAATTGCTCTATCGAATATTCCTGCCCTCTGTCAGTACACAGATAATAATGATGTAAATGCATTCACCCTTCTGCTTCTCACAGTTTAGCTGTAATTTTAGAACATAATTTTATGCATCTCTTTGGGAATTTCAGTTAGAAGAGGCAGCACCACTCAGTCTTTGGTAGGACTTGGGACTGCACCATAGTAAACATTGTCCATACAAAACAGCTGAAAGGTTGGCATAATCCCCAAATAATTGACATTGTTAAGATTCTGTGGAAATAACACCATTACTGGCAACAGGCAACACCCTTTAGTTTGTGTATTGGTCTTAATTCATGCATCTGCACTACAGTATATCTTACAAACCTGACCTTTTCACATAACTGTAGTAGCTTCATCAATGACTTGCATTATAAGTAGGCTGGGAAGATCTATACAGCACCATTGCACTAAAAACATGAATCTGGCACACAGATGAATGTTTTAACTGCAATGAAAACATCAGAGTTGTGGGGAAACCTGAAAAATGTTAGCAAGCAGATAGCAAAGATATCAAGCTTTAATTATCTGTACTGTGGGCTAATGCTACATTTTTCCTAGTCCCAGGTGCTTTCAGTTGCAAACCAAGTGAAGAGACATGTTTTCATATCATTGAGAAGTCTTTATTTTCTCTGTGTAATAATATTTTTGTTTGATTGTCTTGACCTTCCAGCTAAAAATCAAGTTTCACTGTCACCAGTGAATTTTCTGAGTAGAATGAGGATATGAAGAGGATAAAGGTGTCAATTTATGTTTGCAGACTTATTGTGAGATTATGTTACCTCCGTCATGTCTCTTTGTTCAACTTATGTTGTTATTTTAGCCCAAAAAAGGCCAAAGATCATCAACGAAAGTGCATGTAGAGTAAAGCTGCTCCTGTAAAATTGATGATCCGTCCAATTATTTATCTATAGAGGCTGCTGGGAAGAAACGCAACTATCTCAGTTCTCAGACCCCTCTGCTAGGTTGAACTTCATGGCTGAAGGTTTAATCCCTAAGTGTCATATCAACAATTCATTCTGTGATATTCTGGCTGACATGCTCTCCTTCCTTATTTATTGATGTCTTCAGTCATCGACAATGAGAGGAAAATACACTATTCGTCAAAGTGACGGTGTTTTACCCTCACTTACAGTTGATGCTGCTGTCACATTGATGGTTGGAAAATAAACTCAATCATTATAAAAAGCTAAGAGTGTGAACTTGCCAGTGACAGGAAGAAGATGAAAAAAAAAATATACAAACCCACAGTAACTTGCTTAAAAATTGGTGTAATAAAAATAAAACTGTTTCCTACAAAGACATTTTTGAACTTTGTTCATGAGATACCAAACTATTTTATCAATGTATTTTATACTTATTCCTTTGAAGGAAGATCTGCATCTCATACTCCTTTATGTCTGCAAACATAAATGTAGTTTTTAGCTCTAAATACACGTTTTATCATTTCACCTCATGCTACTAGTTTAGTAATTTGTTGATTTTTTTTCCCCTTCTCTTTTAAAAGATTTTTCTTTGTTTTTTTTTTTCCTCCCCTGGATTATATTGAACACATATATCTGTTTGTGTATTACAGTACTTTGAGTGCTTTAATGAGGAAAAACTCAGTATAGTTCCATCCTGTAAGTCCTTTGACGTGCAAACATTGGCAAGGCTCTCATGAATCACTTTCTGAGGCTGCCATTTGTGTAACTGCACTGCACTGTGCAGCCTTTTTAACTCCAAACTCATGTATCTTACCACATTTCACCTTTGGGAGGCATTGTATATACAGCTAAAAGTAAAGAGCAGCGAGCCAAGAGGGACAAGATAGCATAATGAGGATGTCAATTTGTGGTCAGAGGAAATATTTATCTTACTTGTACTATACTTGGCAACTGATAGAGAAATATATATGTAATGAATTTCCTCAGACTTTATCTGGCAGACTGTGTACCTTGTGTTAAATGGATTTAAAAATAAAATTGCTTGTCTCAAACTTTTAAAGTTTGAGGCGATTCTACTTTGGATTGTTCCTTGAAAATGGACTGTATCTATTTTTAAAAAATCATAATCATGTTTACTAACATATTGGTGAATTTTTAATGATCCATTTCTCAAGGCTCCTTGAGTAAAGACATTTTAGGATCCTGCTCACTCACCACAGCAAAAGCAAGGCTTTTTTTGTTGCTGTTTAAGGAAAAAAAGCCATGTTATTTGTAGTTTTACTGTTTTGGTTCGTATCTCTGGTAAGCCTGCTAAGTACCCTAAATGAATGTGCACAGAAATGCTGGTTGTCTCACACGTGCTGTGTGTCCTGAGGCAAAGCTACAGCTGCTTCAGCTCCTTCTGCCTGCTTCCCCATCTGTAAAATGGAATGATTTAACTTATTTTTCTCCTTCAGGGAAATACAGGGAGGGTTTCTTAATATTTCTATAGAGCTTTGAAGATTAAAATCTCTTCTCTATACTTGCTGCTAATATTTCAGTGTTAGAGAAGCATTTGATTGAAGCTGTTTGAAGAGTAAAGTTTTGGCATCTTGTGTTGTCTTTGTACCATATCTTGAGGCCTCTCCACTATAATTTTGCAACCTTTGGTTCAGCGTAAGCTGTGGAAGCAAACAACCCCTGTGTAAACAAATGGTGATGACTATAAATGAATGTCTCTGTCTGCTGTTGAAAACATCAGGAGATTACAGCCTATCTCTAAGCCAGCCAGAAACAGTCCATGGTGGAGCAAAGCAGACACCAGTAACTGGGATGAGCCTGGAAAAGCTTTCATTTAAGCATCAATGGTAAATGCTGAGAGGCACTGAGAGAGGTTTTCTTCTAATATGACTTCTGTGTCTTTAGATGTACAAGGGTGGCTGGTGTTGTAGCAAAGGCTTACTGACTTCCTTGAGCTTAAGGAGTAGATAGGAAGTGTGAGCATCCAGCATCTAGAGTAAGTCTGAAATTCTTCTTGCCTTTATTTCACAGATCAAAGGTCAGCATCAATTCCCAGGGCCTAGACAATCTCAAGAGACTGCAGAGGGGCAGCTTCTGGTTTCGTTTGCTTCTTCAGTTTTATGTTGTTTGAAAAACTCAAAATTTAATATAATGATGTATTCCTCTTTGCAGTTAGGAGGAGTGATTAGGCTACCACATGTATTAAATGCACTTGTTAGAATCTAACTTGGCATTTTAAAGCCTTGCAGTCACAAGCTGTATTTTTCATGATTTATATTTTCATTTTTTAATGCAGAGCAGATTGGACAGGAGATGCTTGAAAACCTCAGCCATGACAGAGAAAAGATCCAGCGTGCTCGGGAAAGGGTAAGTTTGATAATAACTAATTGCTGATTCTGCACTTTATTTGCATTGGGCAAGTTCTTTGTGCATGCAAAAATAGTCCAGATGAGATATAATCACCATCTGCAGTGGAGAAATTACAAAGTGTCTTACATGGGCCCCATCCTGCCAGGTCTCTCTGATGGGGAGTCACACTGTAGTCACCAAATCCGCTGTTGGAAGCAAATTTTCTGTCACTATCACAGTTAGGTCAGTGCTCTGTCCTTTGAAGGGTTTGTTGTGCTGTCAATTCCAATGACTTCTTGGGGTTCCTATGAAACAGTTCAGTATCATAAGTGAGCTAATAGTTGAGCAACCTTACTCTTTGTAGCTGCAGATGCAAATAACAGCCCCTCAGGCAGGTCTGTGTGAAGAGCAGGTACTGCTGCCCTGTCTGCAACCAGGGTAACAAATCTGTGTCACTTTTGGCTCATGTGGCCTCCATGGGGATCAGCTCCACTGTGCAGGGTCAAGGGAGAGCTCAGAAGCCCATCCCATCCAATGTGAGCAAGTTCTCTCAACTTCCATGTGGGAACCCAGCCTCTCTGTCTCTGGTTTCTGCTCACAGAACCAGGACTTTCTGTTCATGATGTGTTGTTCAGATACTTTCCCAAGTGTCCCAGTTTTTCCACAGGCAGGTTCTCCCACACATCTCTTAACTGACCAGTGGCACTTTAAAAAAACTCCTTTTTCTGTCCCAAGGAGTTTCTTCACTTGGATAGCTTAGATTAGTAAAGCTTCCTGTAACAGCATTGCAGGCATTTTCTGCCAGCTGTACCAGTTGCTGTCTGAAGTGCTGGGCATTAGCTGCTTTAAAACACCAAATAGAGCTAGATGACTAAATGTAACTAAGAATTGTGAGGATTGACCAAGTTTTGTTCTGGCAACTTGGTGTCTTATTTCACCTCCACTCCTTACATCCCCAGTGACTGCTGAGTCTGAAATGCTTTTCTGTTTCTAGGTAGACAAATAAAACCCAGGCAATGGAGATGAATGCTATGTATTCCTTTCTGCTGATCCTATATATCCCAGGGATGTAGTTCTGATCACTCAATGTACACATGGTGCATAGCATAACTTTTCCTTTTCATTACTTTCCACCTGAGGAGCAAATTTCTTTGATGGCAAAATCTGTAAGATGCAAAGAGCAAGATTAAAAATAAAAAAGATATTCTAGGAAAGTGCAGTACATACACACTCCACCACAGTGCAGTAAAAAGCCCTCTTGTCATAATGGAAGATCTCAAATTCCAAATTTTTTTATCAGAAGCCACTTAAAATATTTTCTTTAGGGGATTCAGAAAAGTTCTCCAGGGGATCCACATGGCTGTATCTGTTCCAGCTGTCTATATACACTCAGATGAACATTGAGGGGACATCTTGGATAATTTGGCTCGTTTCCCATTTTCTGGAGATTTTGAAAGACCAGAACAGAGGATGCTTTATCAATGCACAATACTGCTGTACAATAAATACATGGAGTTATTATCTTATCTATCAGAGAATAAACTTGTCTTCTGGAATGAAATTTTTAGCTTGAATATGATGGTCAGCTTTAACAGTTTAATTTTGTGAAAATTAGGAAGATACTTTTTTTACAAGCAAATTGTAGATAAGTTAATGTCTCGATGGTAGGTTAAATTTACATATATGAATTTTGCTGTCTGTAGAGTAAAACTCCTATTTTCTTCTGACACAAAGGGAAGGGATAAAAGCTCTGCTACAAGTCCAGATAGGTTAACTGTATATATAGGACTATATACAGGACATTAAAAGATGCAACAGTTTTTAGGAAAACCTCAAAATTTGTCTAAGGCAGACAAGATAATGTCAGCATCTTGTTCATCTTCCTGCTTTCTCATTATCACTCTTAATATTATTTTTAAACACCATGTAGATTTTCCATTGCTAATATCAAAGCCTGTTTCAAAATGTTTTCCCTACAGCAGTTCTGTGAAACGTGTGCTGTTTAAGAGGTTCACATTCCACCAGTTCCATTCCACACTTCTGTGCTGTGCTGGTATTGGTAAAGAAATGGTTGAAGAACTGCAATCAGATAATTCAGTTTTAAATAAAAACAAACTTACAGTTTGAAACTCTTCATGTGTTTTTTTTTTTTTTTTTTTCTGCCAGAGCAGGAAGGAAAGGTGTTTTCTTAGCATTCTCTTGGGAGGTAGCTAGAGATCTTCCAACTATGTGTGTACGTGTTTGTTTCTTTTTTAATGTTTCTTTCGCTTATTTTGTGGGTTTTTTATTACCATAAAAACATGAGGTCGTCTTGCTTAGAGGAGTTTGTCAAACCTCTAAGATTCAGCTTCCCCTTCCTAACTATCAGCACTGATTCTAGCTGTCAGGTAGAATCCTGCAGCAAGAGAGGAAAGTTAGGATCAAACATTTAATGGTAAAAAGGAGAGTGCTACTTTTCTGTGGAAAGGGAGGAGAAGCCCCAAGTGTTAAATGCATCTTTATGAATAATAAAAGACCAATGTAAAGCTTACATTTGTACTTCAGATTCCCTTCTAGCATAGATAAGAACTTGGCTTTTTAATGAGCCTTTTAAAAATTACTGTGACGTTTTTTCTTCTGTTACTTGTGTCAAATTGGGCTAAACTGCTTTTCTGGAGCTTGAATTGTCTAGATGAATCAGGAAAAAATGAGGCAATGGCCTCCCTGGAATATAATACTCATCTTTGTTCCATCATAGCACATAATTACAGAGATCTGAGAGTTAGTGCAAGCCTTCCCACTGAATATGATATTGCTAAGAGCAAGACTTGATTGGTGTTATCCAATCCCAGCTTCTACTTGGTATTTTCTTAATAGCTTTTAGAAGAATGAGGAGGAAATTTATGCAAAAAGGTTATATGATGCTGATTGTCACATCACCTACTGATTTCAGTAATAAGAATTAAGCCTGGCAGCAAATATTTACAGTATTGTGCTCCAGAATAGAAACTTTAATATTTCTGCTGTTCAAATATTCAAGATATAATAGTGGTTTGTTATAGTTAAGGTGATTTGTTATTGGAAGACTGCCACTCTCCTTGGCAGAGTTACTGTTTTGATGGATTTGTAACACAGGATGCATTTTGTCTACTACAACCAAGTTTTTTTCAGTAAGAAGTCAATGACTCAGGTAATCCTTTTATTCTGATTTGATAATGAAGAGGTAAATATTCAGCTTTCATAAGGAGAATAATATTTTATGTATGTACACACAGCTGTGCTTTGGGGCATGTTTAGAAATGGTGGTCCCTGCTATTTCATAACTGAAATAGTCATAATCATTACATTATCTTTTTACAGTAGGTTTTGATGTCCCACTGGTTCCAATATGTCTAAAATGTCAAAAAAAGTCTCTCCTCTATCTGCCAGTAGCAAACGAAGTGATAGGAGAGCAACTCCATTCTTATAATCTTCTAATTTCTGGATTTTCTTTTGTGGGACACTAAAAAATGCAAAAAGAGAGAGGACATTTTAATCCCTTTTAAAAAGCAATAGAAATAAACATGAAGTTCATTTGCTTCATAACTTTTCATCTACTCTATTTCATTTTTTACCTATTTCTCAGTATTTTTGAGAGCTGTAGAACAAGACAGCCAATTAGGTGTAGCTGTGAACTGCAGGTGTCCTTTGTCCTAATAAACTACAAAAAATGGTCATTTCAGTGAGTGAGAGTTCCTTTCATGAAAATAACCCACCATATATACTGTACAGCTGTTCCTTCTCTACATGTATATATACTATTCACAAAGCATTTGAGCACCCAGGCCAGAGGTGGCTGCTGTAAGGTCAGTACAAGTTTTGTATTTAAGGGGCAGTATAGACGTATTTCTTTTACACAGAATTGCTAAAAGGGTATATTTTTTATTTGTTTCTTTCTTTAAACTACAGTCTTTGAAAAACAGTGAAAGAAAGATATGTTTTTCTTTTCATAAAGCATCAGGAGCACAGCACATGGCTGTCTCTTCATCCCTTGATCCTTTCACTAATATGCACAAACAATACACATACACGTGGGAATTATGGATTCCAATGTATAGAGCTTCTACCTGCAACCCTTTATTTGTAAAGCTTTTGCTCTTTATCCTGACTCACCTTTGTTGCCTCAATGACTTACCTTCCCTGGGTTTCATATTTATGCAAGTGAGAACAAGACATTTTTAAATGCCGGTGCTTTGGTGGCTTTACGAGCTGGTTGTGTGCTAAACCTGAAGCTGAGTGACTCAGAGGTGTAGAAACACCTGTCCTTTGTACAGAATGGAGCACATGTGCCTTTTACCTTTAATGGGCCTCTTTTCTCCCCAGCTTAGAGAAACAGATGTAAACCTGGGGAAGAGTTCCAGGATTTTGACGGGAATGTTGCGAAGGTAAGGCCAAGGTAGGGACATTTCTGCTCTTTCTTTTCTTCTTCTCTCCCTCCGTGCCTTTATTTTCAATTTTACTTCAACCTCAATATTTTGCTGGTGTACCTGACTTTTTTTTACCCAGGCTGCTAGGTAGAATGTCTTTGGGTGATAGAAGGCTTTGTCATGCCTATGGAAAGAGATTTCTGTAGCCTGAAGGATAGCCCTTGTGTAATGATTTCTCTTCTTTGTTTCTTTGTATTTATTTGGGGGGTTTTGGATGTGTGTTCTGAAATTAAGATTTTTTTGATGATGATTTCCTGTGTTCTTTATTCTTGAGTGATTTTGATGTTTTGAGGGTTTTTTTGCCTGTTAAAATGAGGAAGTTGCTAAATGTTTTGGGGCAGCATAAAGTCATGTGCAGAGAAAAGGTTAAAATTCTCAATTCTGCCTAAATAAAAGGGGCAGACACACTGTCAGCCCTTGTGGTTTTAGCATGTTTCTTTCACACTTTCAATGTTTTGAAAATTGTCCCTGGGATCAAAATGAGGAAAAGGAAAATTGTACAATGTCCTAAAACTCTCTGTGTGACTGAAGAGAGGGAGTTAACCACTGATTACTTCTCCCCTTAAATTTGCATCGGTGCATTCTCAGACAGATTTTTTTGAATTAGTGGCACCTCTGGATATGTGTTCTTTACCCAGTGAAACAGCACCTGAGCTTCTCTGTGATGTCCATATTTCTGCACATATTCAGCTTCCTAAAGAAGAAAAGCATCCCTCTAATAAGCAGTGCTGGGTGCTAAGAAAGCACAGGAGTTTAGTTTAAAGGAGTTTAGTGCATCCTCTGAAGAGTTCAGTCTGAAATTACCCTTGCCACAGGCTTTTATGTTGTGTGTTTGCTTAATGCACTTTGCTTATAAAAATAAAAAGGGAAGAAAAGAGAAGAAAATTTTAGCGGAGTTGTTGGTTTGTCACTTGGCTTAGGAAATGTGAAAACTGGAATTTTACAAGTTGTTCTTTAGCACAGGCTTTATTTCTCCATAAGTCTCCTCCAAAAAATATCTTTGTTAGTTCCTTGTATACCAAATTGACAAAGGTTAAAATGACTGAACCTGATGCCTTCATTCCACGGATTTCTTACAATTCCAACTCCAAAATGTAACACATAAAATTGTCTGATTAAGAGTAATATGTAAATGACACAAGCTAAATTCAAAATCCATGGAGGAAGGAAGTGGCAATTGAAAGGGATGGTTCAGTGACTGTAGACAATCAAAATAAACTATAAAAAAATGAAGGAAAAGAAAAGACACCAACCAAACCCAAGTCTCCCCCGGAAGGGCTCTGCGACATGAGCTGTAACGAATATTCTGCATATGTCTCCATTTTGTCAAATCTCATTAAAGGGGTTTCTTGCTTTATGTCAATTGAGCTGTCCAAAAATCATTCATCATTTTAGTGTAAAAAAAATCATGCAGTTATTTAAATAATATCATATTAATGTTAAAGTTCAGCTGTCATTTAATAGTACGGCTTAATCAGACATAGCATTTAGGAAAAATAGTTTTTTCGGGCTTTACTTGGCTTTCAGGTTGGCAGATTCAAATAAGGATTTATGGGTTTCTAAACCAATGTATTCTTTCCATGTTTATGCTTGAGGTACCCCAGCCTTTTTCGCAGCACCCTGTAGTCTGTTATTTTCAATAAAATAAAGTATCTCCTCATATTGTGTTTGAATACATTTGCAAGTAATTTGGAGAAGCTGAAACAAAAAACATATGCTGTAACCTTTGACTTTGTTTTGTGTTTGGGAATCACAGTTAGGAGTCCTAGTTTATAAGTGTTCCATAAGCCAAATGAAAAATATGATCTTTCTGAGATATACTTGGGCTCTTCTTTTCAGACAAAAGGATTATATAGTCGAACACCACGATGGCATGTTTCTGTGTGTCAGAAAGGCACTGGATTTCCTTTTTCTTCAACAAAAAGGCTGAGCTGAGTCACCCATCTAGATGAAAGTCGGGTTAGGATTTAAGCTCAGGTCAGGTAAATATGCCAAAAGCAATGCCAGCATAGAAGCAGCTTTGGGTAGACAGTTCTCAGGATGTTGTTTAAAAGCACATAATTGATAGACCTACAGTGAATTTAATTTGTTTGAGATTGTTGGGTAGAAGGATCTAGCATTATTCCAGCCTCAGCATCATCCTAATTTGTTTAGTTACAAGAATAATCATGAAATACAGACCCCAAGAAATCAGCAATATTAGATAAATACAAGTGCAAGAAATATAATTAGCACAGATTGGCAGTTGTTTCCTAATTTCTGCATGCTTCAGTGCACACAACCCAATGTTTTACGTAATTACTGGAACCAATAAAATAAAAAACTGGAGGATCATTCTCCACATCAATATTATATAGAAAAGATAATGTTAAATTGAACATTGCTCAATGTAGTGGCTGTTCCCACAATATGTATTTGCTGATATGCTTGAAGTCATATGCCATGCTAACACCCTGTGCTTAAAATTAATGCCTAACTCTTTCTAATTTTACTGCCTGGGAAAGGTAAAGCAGCATCTCTTTTGAATCTGGCTGAATATATTAAGAGATCAGGTATTTAGATAGCTAGAGGGCTAAATTACTGCCTTTGTATGACCTAAATTCCCTGGCCATGTGTTTGTGCATAAAGTGTTCTGGAGATGGGAGTAAAAGCAGAGACAGGTTTTGTAGGTTGCCATAGCTCACTAAGGAAATCAGTGGCATAATGGGGAGACGTCTTCCTATCCCAGTTTGCTACTCTAGCAATAAGGTACCCAGCCTATGTATTGGAATTTGTTGTCTCACAATATTTTGGGTATGTGGGTAAGAGTATTTTTATAGTAAGTATTTTTAAATAGTCTCAATACAATTTTTTAATATTCTCATACAAATTATCTATACATTCGTGATCTTTTTTTTTTTTCAGTAGCGACTACTTAGGTTCTACTCTGCTAATACATTCTCTCATGGCATGGCATTACTAGGATCAGGGGGAATGGCTTCAAAATGAGAGTATATTTAAATTAGATATTAGGAAGAAATTATTGTGAGTGTGGTGAGGCACTGGAATGGATTGTCTCGGGTCTCTATCCTGTGGCCTGTACCCCAGTGTGAAATGGGGAGCGCACAGTGTGCTAGAAAGAAGTAGAAAAATAATGTGTTCTGGAATGTCTTCAGAGTTTTGCCCATATCCTAAGCCAATAGCCTAGAAATCTTATAAGAAAAGAGTTTGGAAAGTCTCCAAGCCACACAAAGCCCAGTGGGAAACAAGCAAACCTAAAAGTAACCAGATAAAAATTTCAGTAGATTTGAATCTTTTTTCAATTAGCAGATAAGTTCCATCTACCCCCTTCGAATTGCGGGAAAATATTTTAGAAGAATAGCTGCTACACTCCAGAACTTTTTATCCTGTCTGTTTCACCAGGAAATTTTTGTGTCAAAAATACTCTTAACCTTCAGATTTCAGTGTTCTAAATTGTTATCAATGATGTTTTGAGAAGATTATTAACACATCTGCATTTATAAAAGAGACTTTTAAAATTTGATTCCCAACAGGACAGAGACACTAGCTCTGTCTGATAGAAATGAGGCTGTAAGGGTTCAGTCCAGCTCTCAGGTAATAAATTATGTGACTTGCCAACAGCTGCATGACCAATATGACTGCAGTCAGAAATGGAATGTGAGTTCTGGTGAAACTGTTTCACTCTTTCCAGGAAAATCCTAGAAGTCCTGCTTCTTGCATCACTGCCAATCAAAGTTTGTTCTACTTTTGAGCTCCGGGTTATTTCAGACCTTGCAGTTGTTTTCCAACATTTCACAGAATTGTAGGACAGTTTAGGTTGGAAGGGACCTTTAGAGGTCATCTGGTCCAACCTCCTGTGCAAAGCAGGTCTCATTAGAGTAGGTTGCCCAGACTCTCTTCATTCAAACATTTCAAACACATCCAAAGCTGGAGATGCCAGTGCCTGTCTGAGCATTCTGTTCCAGTAGCAGCTGAAATAAGCAAATTCTGCAGGTATCTCACTGAAATTTCCCAGCATCCAACTTGTGTCCATCGCCTCTGGTGTTAAGCAGAAGTGATTTAAAACATGATTTTTAGAATTTGCCTTCAGAGTTTGGGCCCAGATTGCAGTTTGTTTCTAGTGGTTCTCACACAGCTTTGGCGGTGGTGATGTTGTGGTTGTTGGGCTGAGGGGACACTGGGTGTGGGGCAGTTCTTTAAGCAGGGCATGGGATGCTCTGCCTCCACCCACTGACCTGGGCTGTGACCATCCAGCACTGTATGCACAGGACTTCTTTATTGCTTTCTCTTGCTCCTAGAGATGTGCAAAGTTAAGGGTGTCTGTTCTGCCTCCTTGCTTGGCTACAAAGCCCACATTTCCACATGTTTAGAGCAGCAGCAGGGACAGTCATGTCCCTGTGGACACAAACCCAAACAAAGAGTGAGTGTTACCACTGCCTTTTTCCCTATTTCCCTACCAATCTCTGTTTCCATCCTCAAAAGTTCATGACAAAAAGATGATTTTCTTCTGAGCTAAAGCCTGTTTCAGTCATACTTGGCCATGACTGTTGAGTCTCTGCAGTTTTCTGAAGGCAGGTCTTTGTATCACTGATCCAGGGTGGATTTAACATACAGCTACATTTCCCTTGTTTTCATGCTAATAGAGGAGTTCCTCTTTCCAGGATATTTGGTCTCAAGCCAAAAGGAGTTTGAGTAGGAATTTTCTACAACTTTTTTGTACATATATTTCTATTTTTACTTCAAGATGTATTTCTACACTGAAAATGATTGAAACTGTAAATCCTCAAGCAAAATATCTGCTCCATGTTGAATATTTACAGCTGCAGCTGTTTACCTCTGTAATTTAGACCTTGATTAGGGAGCATATTTAAGCATATGGTTAACTTAAACTAGAGAAGCAATTCCCTTAACTTGAGGGAGACTGAATAAGGGGGGGAAGTTAGTGACAGAATGATTCT